AACCTCATGAAACTAAATTTATGTTGCATCTGTTCTTTATTAGTTACTGTGTATGAGCTGTGTGTACAAAGAGCAAATGTATCAATAATTCGCTTCATATTTAGCCTGCTTATTATAATGGAGCTAAGTATTTAACGTGAGTTTATTAAGAAAATACCATAAAACTAGGCACTTGTAAGCTTGAAGTGTGCAAATTATTAGGAGATGATACTTACACCTTAAAATCCAGAGGTACCAGGTGGGTGCTCCCATGTTTAACTGAGAAGAGCAGAGCTCCATTACTGATACACTATTTGAGAAACTGTTCACACTTTTACCCTAGCTGTTCACACACTTCTTACTTGTGTTAAAAAAATCCTTAATTAAATGGTATGATTTCAAGGACTGTGCTAGACCTTGAATTAAATTCACCCAAAACTGTGTATTTCCTTGATAGAATGAAGCCAGCTGTTTTGTGGAAGGCTTTCAGTCTGTGGAAATTTTACAAACTGCTGAACTACTAAAAGGCCCCTTGATATATGATCTCATGTTGCTTAATAGGCCTCCGATTACTTTGGAGAAAAATGGGTTTTATTGTGTTAATCATATGAAAACGAAGTTACTAATCCCTATCTAATTATGAGGGGGTTTTAAACTTGTAATAATATCCTAATTATTTCCTCTTATTGAAACAAGTCCTATTCTAAAAGTAATCCTCAAGAAAGCATATGAAAACTCTCCAATGAAATATCTTGGCTTTAATTTAATTTACATGGGTTTGAACCATTTTTTGTTGTTGTTGCTTCAAGTGTTATCAATAAACACTGTTTGGCATTGCACCTCTAATTCCCTTCCTTCCTCAGTAGCCCTCAGAACAGAACCTTAATTCAGGCTACATACAACATGTTTAGTTTATAGTAATATTAAATCAAGTGAGTATTGACTCTCCACAATCCATCCTGAAATAAATCACAGAACAATGCAATTTAAGATTATTTGACTGCTGGCAGGCAGATGATTAGATAGTATAATCACTTCCTGTGCTCTGTCTTCATCTGAAAGTACTTGGGTTTGGGGTATTTTCTGTTGCGAGGTGAAAGAAATTAGAAAGCAGGAGGGGGAGGGGGAAGGATAAGACTATTGAAAACAGGAAAGGAATAACAAATGATAAGTCATTGTACAGATACCACTGAGCAACATCTTAACCTCATGGCCAAGTTGAAATGCCTCTGCAGCAAATGAGACAGAACTGCAAACTGAACCTTTGAGTCACTGGAAGGGAAAAAAAAAAACCATGCTTTTTCTTGCAATGAACTCATCAGGGAGCTCCTCCCTAATTTAGGCTCTAGCTTGCAAAAAATGTCTTATTTTTTTCCTTTTTTTTTATCTGACACTATTAGATCAAAACAGTACCCAGGCATTAGACAGTATTTATTAGCTTGTAAGGCCAGACATAATGATCCCATTCAATCAGAACTCATGAATAATTCAGCAGTCCCAACTCCACGTAATTTCTGGCTTTACTTTTAAAACCAGTAAAGCACCATTTGCATTGCCTTTTTGAGGGGAAGGATGACAGTAAGCAGGAAAGTAAAGCAGATTTTTTTGTGCCTTTGGTTCTGCTTCTTGAGCATACTGGGCTCTCTTAGAATGCTATCTCCCTTCCCTTTTGTTCCCTCCCATCTCGCAGAACAAAAACAACATCAGAATAAATATTAATCATGATACTATTGAGAAGATGCTGTACACTAATTGTTGTCAAGAATAGCGCTACCCATATTTATAGAGGATTTTGTAATTACTGCAATTTGTTCAGTATTGTTGCTTACACTAACTGCTATGAAGCAATTACAGGTTTTTCACTTTTTTGTTTTAAAAGAACACCCACACTCTTTCTCAGGTTTCAGGCAAACTTGCAAATAATCTTCTCCCAACACACAGTTTCTGTGAAATTAAATGTTCTTTTCTCTGAAATTTCTTTTGCACTGCTGAGCTGAACAAGCCCAGGCCTATGCAGTACCTCTGACGTTTGTGGAAAAGAACTATGTTACACATCCCACTGAATGGGAGACACAGGATGCATCTGAGGTATTCAGTATCTTGCAGCCTTTCTTTACCTCACCTGCTCAGCTTACTTGATATCTTATTGTAACAGTATTTTGTTTATATTTCGTGGCAGATACCTCACTGCTTTAGTGAATGTTACTTTACTGAACACCTCATTGCTTCTCCAGTTCCTGCTGCATAGCTGATAAAGATTTCTTCTGTGAGATTTTGCTGTTGCTTTATATAGCCACTCTCATATTTTATGTCTGCTGAATTGTCACAGTAGTGACATGACTATCATGTGGCTTGGTCCCTTTCTGTCCACAGAGTGGTTCTGTGTTATGCCTACCAGAGAGAAAAGGTTGTTGTTTCCAGTGATGCTCCCATTGTGCGTATTAGTGGGATTCATGTAAAGTAGCATGTTCCAACACCCACTACAGCTAACTTCCAGTAACCTATTAAAATATTCATTACCCTGCTTATTGATGTGAGCTTCTGCAGAGATAGGAGGATTAGCGATCTCTTATTAACAGATTATATTTTTGTTAGCAAAAGTCTTGCTGAACTGTGGGAAGGAGGAAGTAGTATTAGAAAGAGCAAAGGCATTCTGATCCTGTGAATAGCACTCTAAAAGTGTACATGAAGTTATATCAACATTTGAAGAAGGCAGCAGCATTCTGGCCCCTTTTGAACCAAGATGTTTAGAGCAACATCTCTGCAAGCTGTAGTTTAAGAAAAGACTGTCAATAAATCCTGAGGGACTGCAGATACATTTGTTAACTTCCAGTGTCAGTCTGAGTGAGTGTTTGTGTATTCATGTCAGTCATTAATTAAAGGTCTCTTGGGAGATTTTAAGATCTTCATCTTAGATCGGTGAAACTGTAAAGGACAAATTGTAGTTTGCAAATTGCCATAGAGATTGAGAGTAGTGAGTGAAAAGGATGTTCTGATATCATTGCTTTCCTCATAGTATATCCTAGTATAAGAAATGCTGATTTAAGGGAAATCATCAACCAAATATTTACAGTGCTAGTGGAAAGGCTGTAACGGTACTTGTACTAACAGTTGGTCCTGAACATTTAGTAACAAAACCCAGCAGGTAAGTTTAGGGTGAAACTACCTTCAGTTTAGCAGAAACTAACATAGCAGTCATGAACTTTTCCATCAGCATTTATCTTTGCAGCAGAGTTTGAAATTAAAGTATAAAAGAAATAATATGTATGTAACTGAATGTTTAGGCTTGTCCTTGCATAGAAGAGGACCCTCTGATCAGTCCTCAGAGGAAGCATTGGTACTTTCACAAAAGTCCTGGTACAAAGGAATATAAATAGAGTGAATGCAATAGGCAACCAAGTATGAGTGCCTGAGTGTTCTGATGAGCTCTAAAAGTAGAATATGATCTCTACAGTGGTACTTTTCAAGCTGAGGACCCAACATTCATCGCATGAATGCTGTGTATTTTGCTTCAACTAGCTCTTTTCTGGTCTTGTGGACTGAATGCCCAGTAGGAGCTGATGTACAGTAGGTGTATTCCCAGTGCATCTAGTTCTAGTCTAGTTTGTGGAACCTGGGAAGGCCCTGCAATGTGAGGCAAAATGTAGTGAATGGGGATGACGAGGAAGCAAAATGAGTTCCGGATTTGAAATAAGATGCTGATGTAGACATACCCTCTGACATTCTGTAATGCTGGTAGTAGCTCTAAGTGGTATAACATTTAGGCAGTTGCCACTGAAGTCAACAGGGTTTTACTTGTATTGATGTTTCTGAGAAAGGGGATCAGATGTTAGATTTTGTCAAAAAAGCAGAGTCAGGCTTAAGTCTGTGTAAATTTACATGTCAACACATGTGGCTCTGATTGCCAAATTGGAGTCTAAATGTGCAGCCACCAGATGTAATTCAAACCATATTAAATAGATCTGTAAAATAAATAGAGTCACACGTTTCATCCAGAGATGAATTTAAGCAGTTGCATCACTTGGTGTGGGAAGTGCTTATAGCTTTAAAATAATCACAACAATAATATGTGAACAGAATCCAAGTGTGCTATTTTGCTTATTGTGAGCTGTATAATTCGGCACACAATTATCACAGCATTGCTTGCTGCTACAGGCTCTGCTTAGTAATGGATAATGATGTAGACATAGCCTGGCCCAGGGAGCTTGCAGTTGAAGTGATAATCCTAAACATAATTATATATATACCTAACTTCACATGTGAAGCCTGTCCAATTGAAGTCAGTGGGGCACAAAGGTGCGCACAGTTGATCAAGCATGTGAGTAGTGATTTCCCAGAACAGGACTTAAATCTTCATGCTCCAAAGGTTAATTATAATATTCCTTGAATGTCTGTATATGAGGTTTTTCGCTTTTTATTTGGTTTTATTTTATTTTAGTGGCTTGCTTATGGTGGTTTCTGCAGAACTAGCACAAGTTTAAGAAGGGATTTAGAGTCTTGCTCCTGACCCGTATAACGCCAAACGTATCTACTCCGCCACCCCGTTTCCTTCTGCAGTCTTAGATTACTCAGGTTGTCCTGCTGTGTGTATGAGAAATTCTGCCCAGCATCAGATCATGCACCAGGAGTTACCTGCAACAGTTTTATTTCTAGGACTTGCTGCAGCAGTTGCAATCAGTGACATGCACCATGGAATGCAGAAGTAAAATAATCTCCAGCTTTCACAGCATGTTCCATTTCTCAGAGTCAGAGTTCAGCATTTGAATGTGCTGATCTCTTGCAGAAAGTCTGACTTAAGCAAAGTCATGTTGTAAAGTCCATTCAAACTCTACTAATAATGTCTTTAAGCCTTTGGAAGTTAAAACCTGCTCCTACTTCCTCTGAAGGCAATGGGAGTCCAGCAATTGAGTTCGGTGAGAACAGGATCAGGCTCTAAGTCACTAAATGACATTTTCCATGGTAATAATTAACAACAGCAGTTTTGAAGCTAAAGAAATTAGTAATTTTATTTGTAATGCAAGTTTCAAAAATTGCTGGTGGATTTAGGAGGAGAATCAAACAATTATCTGAGGTATGTTCAGGGATGACAAGCTCTAAAATCAGGACACATCCAGAGCTGCAGGCTGAGTGAGGTACTGTAGGATGGATTAAGAACTATCAAATGCTGTAAGAGAAAGGTAAGTATTATTGATTGGGGGTGGGCTAGGAAAATAATATGCTAATAAGGTGCATTACACAGATCTTAAAACCTGGCAGATACATTTTTCTAGTGGAATGTTTGTAGTGTGAGGGGTTGCAGAAGATATGTCTGAAAAGAGACCCAAGGGGAAGTTTAGTCAATCTTGGATGCTTTCTAAAAATGTTGTCTTGCCTTGTGGTTAAATAATGAATGCAAATCTCCTTTCATGGATTTAAAGCTCTGATTGCTGACATGGGAAAACCAGAAAGTTGGGGGGGGGGGGGGGGGGGGCATTCTCTTTTGTAAAATAACACCAAATGACATGAAAATCTCTTTGTTCTCGCATATGAATTTATCTTTGTTTTAGGATAAAAGGAACACCAGATGTGACCAAGACTGCATTAGTGGAGGAGAGCTGTGCAGAGCACTGTTTTCATTTGTTAGAGTAGAGGGGAAGGAGGACCTCTCTCGACCTACTAGCCACCCCCCTTCAAATACACCCCAGGATGCCATTGGCCTTCTTGGCCACAAGGGCACAGTGTTGGCTCATGGTCGTCCTGTCGTCCGCTAGGACCCCCAGGTCCCTCTCCCCTACACTGCTCTCTTAACAGGTCGTTCCCCAACCTATACTGGAACCTGGGGTTGTTCCTGCCCAGATGCAGGACTCTACACTTTCCCTTGTTATACTTCATCAAGTTATTCCCTGCCCAACTCTCCAGCCTGTCCAGGTCTCGCTGGATGGCAGCACAGCCTTCTGGCGTGTCAGCCACTCCTCCCAGCTTAGTGTCATCAGCAAACTTGCTGATAGTACACTCAATTCCCTCATCTAAATCGTTGATGAATATATTGAATAATACTGGTCCCAGTACTGACCCTTGAGGCACTCCACTAGTTACAGGCCTCCAACTAGACTCCGCCCCATGGACTACAACTCTCTGGCTTCTCTCCTTCAGCCAGTTCACAGTCCACCTCACTACCTGATCATCCAGACCACACTTCCTCAATTTAGCTGTGAGGATGCTGTGGGAGACTGTGTCAAATGCTTTGCTGAAGTCAAGGTAGACCACATCCACCGCTCTGCCATCATCCATCCACTGTGTTATTTCCTTATAAAAGGCTAAGAGATTGGTCAAACATGATTTCCCCTTGGTGAAGCCATGTTGACTGCCCCTCATAACCCTCTTATCCTTGATATGCCTTAAGATGGTGTCCTGGGTTCAGCAGTAGCAGTCATGTTTTTTCCTTTGTGTTAACTGGTGCAGTGCTGTGTTTTGACTTCTAGTTTGAGAACAGTGTTGGTGAAGCCGATGTTGTCGGTTGTTGCTAAGTGATGTTTACCCTGACCAAGGACTCTGTGAGGCTCATGCTCTGCCAGGGAGGAGGGGAAGCTGTGAGGAAGCAGAGACGGGGCGCCTGACCCGGGCTAGCCGGGGAGGTATTCCATACCACAGCACGTCATGCCCGGGGTGGGGGGTAACTGGGAGTTACCCGGAAGGACAGGAGCTTCCGGGTGGAACTCGTTTTCTTGGCCGGTGGTATCGTATTCTCTTCCCTTGTTATTTTCCCTTATCATTGTTTTAGCTGATAGTAGCGGTGGTGATTTGTTGCTGGACTGTTCTTGTCTCAACCCGTAGGAGTTGCACTCTCTCGATCCTCCTCCCCGTTCCTCCGGGAGCGGGGAAGGGGAGAGCCCCGGTGCAGGGGGGGGGGGAGACGGACACGGACCTTGATTGTTGTCAGCTGGGCACCACTCACTGGGAGTGAGTGAACAAGTTACCTGACTGGGTTTAAACCACGACAGATGGCACCAAGGATAAGGTGTTCCATCACCGTATGTGATACTATACTAAATCATACAGTATTTTTTCCTATTCCTAGGATGGTGGTTTTGCCTTTCCAAGAATGCAGCTTTGTGAGAGATTATGGCCAATCTTTTTGCTGTATTGTTTGTTTCTGCTTTGAAAACAATGGGGGAACCCACAGTATGGCCATAGTAAACTAGAAATGAGGGATCAGCCCTTCTGTGGTTGTTGCCCACATACATAGAGCATATCTGAGACAACTTACTATTTCTTAGGAAATAAATTATCTGCTGCAAGTTACCATCCATCAGCTGGCTGTTAGTAATTGCTTAATATGTTCCCAAAACTGTAGAAATCATAAGATAATTTAGGTGACATCCTCAGTTGATGAAGATGACCTGTTATTCCCAAGTAATCTTGCTCTCCATCAAAAGAGACACTATCTCCCCAAGGCACTTGAAAATGTAATACAATAATACTTTACCTGATTAAACTAAGTAACTGAGTATGAAGTAACTTATATTACACGAGTTAAAAGAGTCTATTAACTGCTCTATTATATTTCAGCCCTCATTAGCAAGATAATTCATCATACTAGAAAACGTGAACTGTGCTTTATGAATTAGTGTAGTAATATTCTGCACCTGATAGTTATTAATTCTACTTCAGTCTGTTTTATCATAACGTTAAACTATTCAATGTTAGATGAGACAAATAGAAGTCCATTTTCATGTTGTTCTGAGGTATAGTATGTAAAATGTTTCAGGATAATAATTAGATATTGGATGCTACTATATTTTCAGAGGCAGAGCTAGTGATTGCTTGAAAATGATATTTAAATGACCCTACTCTGCTTAGAAACCATATAGCCTGAATTGTGCCATCCACTGCTGCTGGATGAAGCTCTACAAGAACATTTCTTTCAATGAGAAATGACACTGTTTTTGTGCTGACAGTCTCTGTGTAATAATAGTGTTAGGTTTTGCCAACAAGCCACAATTGTTGCTAATATGACAGTTTGTTGAATTGTTGAATTTTGAATGTAGAGTAATTGAAAATGTACATTACTGTGGACTTCACTGGGTAAGGCAGGGGAGGGTGGAATTAGAGTTAGCGTCTGGCTCTACTCTTGCTTAAATGCACATGATGCAGTTTTGATTGTGCAAACAATTTTTTAATCCAGTCTTAGAAGGCAGCTATTTACCAGCAGTTAGCAGGAAGATTATGCTGGGGAGATGATACAAAAATATTTATATTGACTTAAATTGAGACAGATTGCTTTAGCTTATTCCACATGCTATTTCTAATAATATTGAATGTTGGTAACAGTTTCCCTCTGAGAAACCCAGAATTCCTTATAAGCATTTTATGAATTTTCTTTTGTAAAACAAACCATGGTATATCAGTGTTGCAAGTACAGGAACACATAGTAAAGTAACTGGTGAGAAGAGAGTCTAGGTTTACTGATCCCCCTCTTTAGCTTCTCTGTTGGGATGCTTTTTCGTTTGGGCTGTGACAGTCAAGGCAAAGTTTGATCTGTAGATACTGCAATATATGTTAAAATAACGTGGCACATTTACTGAGGAGATGCCAAAATTAAGTATGAATGTATCAGAACTTAGTGAGCAAGAGAGGGCTCAATTCTTGCTCTCAGGGACTGGAGGCAAATTCTCTATTGAGTCATACCAGGTTTCATATGGATCTACACTTCGTTTCTACAATGCTGCTCATGGTATATACCAGGAAGCTTGGGAAGGGAAAGAAATGATGTGGTTTTTCATGTCTGTGTGTAACACAAAAAATACACTCGTCTTACATTCTCTGCCAAGCATGGAGGTCCTTCAGGTACTAACCCTCTTCCTCCCAGGTTAGCTAGCACCCACATTTTATTTCTCACACCATTTCTGTATTGTCTAAAGGTTGTTTCTGTGGTGAGATTTGTCTTTTGCTCATCTTTATGCTTGGGACTTTAAGGGAACAACAGCTTAGGATCTTATGCTTGCCCTGTATGCTTGCCAGTTAATTCCCTTATTCCAATGTTTTGGAGAGGCTGGTCAGTCTTTAGAAAAGCATATATGGACAGTCATGCCCAGCTTTAATTCCCTTACTTTCCTGTATCAAGCTTTTAAATGAAATTGAGTGCTAATCTGCTAGTGTTACCAAATAAAGAAGCTTCTCCTTAACTGAACTATTATATGCTATGGTGTCATATGTTCAAAAAGGGGCCATTTATAACTAATATAACAAATATTGTGTCATTTTTTTTCCTTTATATTTTGCAAAATATACTTAAAGAGTTATTTTGCCTACATCATTAAGTATCTCCATCTAAATATGGAGAGGTATCTCAAATTTATTCATGGTTCATGTCACAGAATCTTTTTTTCTTTTAAGAACTTACATTCCTAAACATAAATACAGATCTTTTTGATCTCGGTTGAATTTGGAGTAGCATTTTCTGCTTATGAATACCACATTGTTTAAAGGGTAATCATTTGTACACACTGGAAATAAATAGTTTTTGATTGTATTTTAGATGCTTCTGAGATTAGAGTGTATATCAAAGTCTCCATAAATGATCTGAGCTACAGAGCTGTGAAAAGAATGGATTTTCAATTTTCTGAACAAAATGAACCACCCCAAATTATTTTAGGTCAAGTGAAACATTTTTCGAACCTGAAATGGTTTTCTAACATCTTTTTGGTTATTAATTTTTGTCAGTTTAAAATACTTTGTGTGAAAAACTCTAACAATGCTTTCAAAATCATTGAAACAAAGTGATTCAGAATTGTGTGTTCAGAATTTAATTTTTTCATTTTCTTTCAGTGCTGCCTGGTGAAGAGGTCCAAGTTTGCAGATAGTTCATCAGACCTTTGACTGCATTTCTGGATGAATAAATTATTTATCTGAAAAATTTTAGCCTGACATACTATTGGCAGAAATTCAGCCTGGTGACCAGTGATTTTTCTTTCTTCCAGTCAGGACCCAGGAGTGAAAGGTCGTTATGGCTTTTTTTTTCTGTTTACTGACTCCAGGTAGGTGCTGCTTTAGCTGGTCTAAATCAGCATAGCTCTGGTGGTTTTATACCTGCTGAGGAGCTGTCCCTTCTTGTTCATTACTAATTCTTTAAACTCATTCTGGCTTGATTTTCAGTTAGTTCACCTTGACTTATTGTCCTTCATTATTTTAATATTCATTTATGTATTTGATCACCTGCTGACTCAATCATTTTTGAGCCCTCGTATTTCATTGCAATAACTAATTTCAAACACTAACAATCTTGACTTTTCTAATCATTGTTTACTTTTTTTTTCTCCTTTTTCTTTTGGTGTCCTTCATTAATCTTCACTCACCAAAATTTTTTTCTGACATTTCAACTTTTTTCATGATGATGATTATTAATTTACATTTTGCTTATTTAAACTCATTCAATTTCTTTCCCTTATACAGTGAAAATTGCTGTAGAGTCCATTAAAATCCCTCAGCTAATTCCTGGTGGGTTCTGGTGGTCTGTACGAGTTCTTATTGCGAGAGTAGCATTTCTTGAGGATAAGTAATTCTGATCACCTTTCTTTGTTTTGGAACTGGCAGCATACATGAGCCAGTAGAAAGCAGTTAGAAATTTTGAACTGGAATTTCAAATGGAAAAATAGTTGTTTTCACTGTTTCAGTTGTTTAATGATGTTTTTGCTACTGCAGCTATTCTTCCTCCAAGGACATACTTCGCTGCAAACTTCTGATTTCCACCAGTACAGAGGAAAGATGGGGCAATATTGTTGGTCAAATGGTGCATCAAAGGTATTCCCATGTATAAAGATGGATCTTTGCTTTACACAGTGAATGAATTTCTGTAAGTCAGTGCTCTGAAGAAGAGAAAAACCTGCTACCTCATTTTAGCATTTGATGGTGAATAATTTAGTAATACTGATATTCTTCTAGTTCTGTGAATATTTTATGCTAAGCTTTGTGAAGAATTTGTAACTTCAAGCATAAGATCAGCTTGAAAAAATAGTTTTTGCTTAGGTTTCTCTGAATAAATGCAGTCACTATTTTGTAGCTACACTGTTATTCATCTGGTGCAATACACATCATAGTTATAAGTTAAAAATAAGATTATTACAGTACCCATTTCATGTACTTTACTAAAGAAAATCTTATTAACAGTAGATTGACAGACATTCTTGATAATTTTGGACCCAGTCATTTAATTGCTAGCTATTTCAGTTTATCTGTAGTAAAATCAGTGTGGTGTGAGTGAGAAAAATTGAAGTAAAATCTTATGTAATATTTCACCTGAGATTTTTGTAGCATTTTAACTATGGCACTTACCTTAAACAGCTCCACAACAAAGATCAAACTGGTTTAATTCTGAAGTTATTGTTCCAATTTTCCTTTTGAAAGTGCTGATTGTTGAAACTTCAAATGTATCTGCATCTTATAAATGCCTGAGAACATAAAACCCAGCATGCCTAAAATCTGACTTTGGTGCTTTTATTGGGTAATATTTCGTGCTCTGGGTCTGATTTCTCACTCTGGAGCTCTCCACTGTAAAGCTGAATCAAAATCACAGGTCAAATGCTGCTTTGGGACTAAAAGGGTATGCTGACCCAAGCTTAGAGAAGTGTGTGCAGAGGTGCTAGTCTCTGCCTGTACAAACTAGAGCTAACGCTGGCATTCACCTGCTGGAACAGTGGAATACACTACTTAGCACCAGGTGTACACCATGCTATAGAAAAAATCAGTTCCCCCCACCAAGTATTTTCAGAATGTTTTCTTTTTTGTTTAGAACATTTCTGTTGTGAAATGTTTTGAGATGATGAACTGCTGCTTGAAGTGGGAGGTAGAAAATTCAGGTATGGTTTTGATCTTGGTGGGGGGCCAGGAGTCAGGAGCAACTGCTTCTGGCAGAGGTACTATTCTGATTTTGGTGAGAAATGTGGGCTGTGGGGGTCCTAGCTCATGGTAATAGCTTGTATTCTTGCATGTCAAAACTGCCTGGGTTGCAGTAGTCCCTAAAGCTCAGGCTGGATGTGCCACTGTGGAAGGTAAGGTCTGTTGTCCGGGGGTCTTCTGGCTTGAGCTAGATCTGAACTCACCTGGGAATGCTGTTGTCCAGTAGCCTCAGCCTTTGCCAGATGAGTGGTGGAATCTTCTCTTTCCAGCCAGCAGCCCTGGGCTGCATAGGTGAGCAGCCATCTGAGCCTGCACAGTGAGGAATAAGGGTTCAGTGCCAGCCTAATTTTTGCAGGGGCTGCAGCAACCAAGATTCCCTCTCTCACCCAAATTCCCAAAACATACCAGCAGTTGAGGAGCATATCTTCGATTTGTGAGAGGCAGTAGCTCCCATGTCAAGCCACTCTGCTGTGCTTTTAGAAACCTGCAGAGACTAGTGGCTCTCCCAGGTAGCTGCAGGCACTGAAGCTACAGCTCTCTCTCCCAGAACTGGCAACTTGCCTGTCTTCCAACGCAGCAAGAGACGGGGCAGCATACCACATCCTCCTGAGAACAGCAAGGACCTCTAGAAGCAATGATGAAAACATATCTTTCTAATAAACTGACTGCCATTAGCAATTTTCATTTTGAGGGTCTCTGGTGCTATGTAAAAGCCTGAATTATATTTAAGCATATTTAATAATTGTTAAAAATATCCAAGTATTTTAGTCTGTGCCTGAGTGATGGACTGAAATAAATCCTTGAGCAATAGTAAGTGTGCCATGAGAGTATAGGCCGTTCCCTTTCCTCACATTGAAAAAAGGGCTTATAGTAAGTTTTTTTCAGTAGTAAAATATTTGTTCTCAAAAGCCAGCGCAGAAACCATTCTAATTAGGACATGGCTGTTTTGCAGTTGAAACTGCTACCAGCAATTTTCAAACACCGTTGTGTCATCTCCATGAAGTCCAAAGCCTTATTAAAAAGATTTTCCTCGGTGAGGCAAGAGGTTGAGTGTGATCTTTCTAAAATCCGGCTGAAATGCAAATAAATCCAGGTTCACTAGACTTCAAAGAAGTCATCTGGTACTGCCAGCCCAAAGAGAGTGATTGAAACTTTAAATAATGTTTGAAAGGGCCAAAATGGGAGCACAGAAGTAATTTTGCTTTGCTGATCTGGTAGTAGGAGGGGCTGTTTTAGGGAAGACAAAGCACCACCAATATCAGAACATATGAAGGCCAGATACAGTATCTCTATCTGAGTACCATTTACTCACCTGCAGGAATCCCAATTAACTGGAATTACCACCCCAATTAAGCAGCAGTCCTTGCCATTAAGTATCATTAGGCTTAATTTGGTTCCCTGGGAAATGTCCCGATTAAGCGGATTTCATGATTAAGCACCTGTAATAAATGTTTTAGCTTACATCTAAAATTCTTTTTTATTTCATAGGATCTTACCACTAGCACCCAAAGAGCAACTAATATGCCAACTATTACTTTTGTAATTTTCTTTTATTAATTGCCTTGTATACACTAACTTCTTATCTTGGCTTTGCAAAGTTTTGACAAAGAAATCTTTATATTTTTGCATAGTAATTTTGTTATGCAAATGTATCCCTGTATATCTCACTGCTCTTGCTCTCTGACAGCCTGAATAATACTTTACCAGTATTTCTTAAGAGAGCAGCAAATCTCACATGAACATCAGCCATATTTCAAGGAAGTACCTGATTTGCTGTACTTTGGAGGAAGTTTACTTGGAAAGCCTTAGTTTTCTTCTTGGTGGAAGAATAATATTTCATGACCAGAAACAGGTTTAGAAAACATCTCCAATGCCAGTCTGTTCAAATGACCATGAATTAGGTATTCTTTCTCTAAAAACAGGTGGTAACAGATAAGCTGTGTTACAGGAAAGATCTCTTGCCTGAGTCAGTGGCCTAATTTAGGCTCCACATCATAGATGCAGCAGAAGACAGAAGTACCCAAGACAGATGTAAATAAGGGACAAGATCAATCCAGCCACAGCAATCCCAGTGCTTTGCTGGGGTTAATTTACTTCACAACTCCTGAAATAAAGCCCTCTAGAGGTACTAACAATAGAATGAGAAATGGAGTGAGGAATTGTGGGGTTTAATGCTGCAAATACATGAAGAGCTAATACCAGCTTGTGGTAGCTCATTGAGATGTGTAGTCTACAGACAGAAAAGATGACCAAGATCCTTTGCAGTATAAGCTGACAGCTCCATATAATCATGGTGTCAGATTTGCAAGATTTGCCTTGAATAGCAAGAACAGTGCATTTGCCAAAGAAACTTGGTATCATTGAAAAGCATGTATTTGTGGAGCCCAGAATATGGTTTTTTGGAAACATTTCTGGTTCATTGACCCTCCACTAAATCCAAGGCTGGAATCCAAGAGATTCTCAGCAGGGATTTTGGGCCTTACAGCCAAAAGCAAATTTATGCCGACTTTACAGTGAAAGTCATTAAATGGTCACAAAACCACTTCACTTCTCTAAAGGAACAGTTTAAATTTACTTTTTTTGCTGAATTTAAATTTACACATCAGATAAAAGAAAATATGTGTGTGAAAAATCTGTTAAAAGTAGTCAAAGAGAGAAGCAAGGAAAAGGAAGTGGAATTATTTTTCCAAGAAATCAAACTGTAAAGGAATAGAATGGAACTGAATAAGGGTCTCCTTTAAACAGCTCTCTCTAATGGTAATGCATGACCAAGGAATCTTTATTGCATGTGTGAAAGATCAAGGGGGTTTAATCACAAAATAATGATGGGAACATTCTACATTAATGTGTAGGGTCAGAAGGCACTGAAAAAAATGGGAGTTTCCTTCATGGCATTATGTACAGAGGGTTTAAACATCTTGAGCTTGTGCCATGTACACATTCCTTAAGTGGACAAAAAAACGATGAAGAGGTCTTGTCAGGAAGGGAAACACTTCTAGAAAGAGTTATAAATATAAACCAGTATGGTTTTTGTTCCCAAAATGCAATGGAAAACATACCAAAAAGAATAGAAACTGTTTAAAAGTTTTCTATCCTGGCTCGCTATCCCCTCATTTTCCTCCAATCCAGGTATTCAGCAGCAGAAATAATGTGATAAATTTTGGCACTTTCCTATCCGTAATCCTGCAGTTGCACTGGTCAGAGAAAAAATATTCAGATTTATAAATTGCTTAAAGTAGGTTTTTCTTTTGATGTGTGAACTCCTGTAAATGTTAATGCTAGGTCTGGGCTTCAAAGGAGAAAGTACCCCTTGCTGTACTGTAGAGTTAAGACAGAAGAATATTTAGGAAATGTAAAAACCCATCTGGCTTGGCACTCCTGCTATTTATTTGTTTTTGGAGCTGTGAAGAAAAGAGATAATTAGATCTCTCCCATCTATATAATTTTACATAGTTTTTCTGCATACTGAAATACAGATTAGTCAAATTCTTTGTGTTTTCTTCCTTGGTTGCCTTAGTTTCTGTGTCAACTTTCCCCTCCTCCCCCCTACTTATATGTAAAATAAAATAGGTCAATACTTCTCCAGCTGGGTTGTTTACACTGCTCATGTAACCGAATTGAGAGATGGATCACTGACCAAAAGGCTACCTGCACTGTGTGCTTGGAGTATGCCAACGTAAAATTTAAAAAGAAATAACTGTAAAGATTGGTACTGGGCCTAGGTACTATGAGTAAGCAGGTACCTGCTTCCAAAGAGGAATTTTATGATCTTTTCTAAAAAAAAAAGTGGTTTTTCATAGTGTTTATCCTGAGCAACTTCAAGCTATATGAGTGATTTTTTTAACAGTTCCAGAGATGGTACTTCAGCTATGACTGCAGATGTGTATAGATGCTTCCTACTGACTGAATTGCTTCAAATGAATAAAATTCTCAGGAAAATTAAAGGTGAGGCTTTTGAAATAATTTCCTTAGCTGAGGCCTGTATCTTCCACAGTCATGAGAGGTGTTCTGTCTGCATGGGGAAATGCACAGGCATTTTCCTCTAACTTGGACATTACCCTCTTTTAGAAGCAGTGCTATAAAGCTGTCTAGACTCACTGAAAATAACCAGTAAAATAGCTTGCCTGGAATGAGTCAGTATTTTGGCCAGCATGCTAAGTAATATTCTAATATTTCCAGTAAAATAGCCAATGAAGGACTTCATATATCCTAAAGAGCTCTACTAAACAGAAAATTCTTCAGATTTCTGCCTTCAGTTATAAAGTCAGGCTGATTTCTGAGACCTCTGTATGCATCGCCCATGAGAATTTGCATGTTTGCCATCAATCAAGAGCGTGTGAAAAAAAATATTTTACTTGTAAATGGAAGACTTAGTGATCAAGAGAACCGTATCAGATTAGAAATTTTTTTTTTTTGCTAAATGTTATGTATTGGACTCTTCATGTCCTATTTTATTCTTATTGTTTGCTATAATATTTTAATAATAGCATGAACAACATGATGTTCAAATGCTTGCATGTGTCTTCCCCCCTACTGATGAACTGACCTCAGTCGTTTGAATCCTGAAAAAGAGGCCCCTTTATTATTAGTTTTGTTCTTTCACATGGTCAGAAATCCTCCTGAGGAGAGAGCTGGTATCTGTAGAAAGCATCTGACTTCTAAACAGATTGCAGGTTAAAGGAGTTGCTTGGACAATAAAAATAAGTAGTCATTTATTATATGCAAATATAACAAGTTGGCACAAAACCCATAACTTCAGTCAAGTAGAAAATAATGCTATAACAGATACGTTTTTTGAAGTTGCTGTTTAGCTTCATATAAGGATAGAAAATCTCCTGTAGCTCAGATGGGCTTATTTGAAACCAAAGCTTTTGATGTTATAATGTGCAGTCTAAATTCATTAATCCCTCTGTTCAAAAAAAAAAAAAAGTGTCTCTTAAATGAGTAATAAACATAATAATGAAAATAACTGGCAGGAGAACATGAGTTACATCACACTTAGTGTTCCAGCTAAAGATGAAAATTAACTTTGGAAACACAGGTTACGCTAAATGAATTTAATTTGTGTTTTGATACAGAATGTTTAAACATGTTGTTATTTCTGGCACCAGGGCTGATAGCTATTAAATGAGAACATCTAAGAACATCAAAGGAACTGGACCTTTTATACTCTTCAGCACCCCCTTGGAGATGTTTATCTGGGCTGTTATCTGGATCCCATACAAGCATCGAACAATGTGCCAGTCTCACCAAGTTACTCTCTTTTCCCAAAAGTTCTGACGCATGCATTTCCTGCACAAATGTTCCATATTTTAGAGTTCACTACAAGTGCACAAATAGAAGTAGTTTGTACTAACAGACTTGACTGTAGATACTCAAAGTTTTTCTTCTATAAAGCATTTGAAATAGAAAAGAAAACTTCCTTCTGTTTGACTCAAACTAGGTTTCCAGATGTCAGGGTCAGAGGTTGGAGATAAAAGTATCAGGTTTTGGCCTACTCTAACTAGACTCCAGGCCCAAATGTGTGAGATCTTCCCTAGAGGGGGTTCCTTTTGTACTGGTTCATTTTTCTTCTTTAGCTTCTCCCAGTAAGAGGTCCCATTCCATGCTGCTGAATTATGATACTTCATCTCAATCGTTAAGACACTTAAAACTTGTATTTACTATTTAACACTTGGCTGCAAATCAAATCTTTTAAATATCTCTTTTTAAAACTTT